GGAAAAAGGAAGATATTATTATAAGACACTATTAAAATATTAAAAGTGTCGCAAATTAATACAAATAATAAATTTTATCTTTTTAAATTTTCGATATTTATATCTTGGAAAATAAAAGCACGTGGCATTTTATTTATTTATTTATTTAATTATAAGTAATCTTACAGCTAACATACATAATATTATAAAACAAACACTTAGACAGTACAGAAAGCCAAAACAGATTACATAGATAAACAATATTATATACGAAAAATAAAACAAATAAGCACATCAATAGACAAAACCATATAAAGAAAACTTAAATTTAACATTATAACAACAAATAATACTAAATATTTCATATCGTACCTAAACAAAATCAAAGTCTTCCCGCCCCTTCAAATATTTTCTCACATCTTCTTTGGTGTGGTGGAAAATATCAATATCCTCATAATTAGTGTCATAGTTAGATAAAACCCGAAACATTGGTGAATTATGCAGGTAATTCGAGTTCGTACGAGGCACATGGAACAATTTTGTGTCTTGTCGCATAAGGAGATGGAATTTTAAAATAAATTAACGACAGCAAATAGGGGCTATCGATCCGCCCATTAAGAATAGCGTGTAAAAAAAGCATTTTAAGTTACAATTCGTCATTTGAGATTTTAATAAATTATTTTGCATAAAATATAAAATAATAATATTTAATAAATTCGGTTAACGAAATTTTAATTTTAAAAATATAATTTCTATAAGGTAATTCATACTTCTCACTCTCTCCCAATCGGACTCAATCGCTTTCTCCCTTTTCTTCGACAAAAACGCTGCACATCTTCGTGACGTTTCATCCGTAAAAATATTACCCTCATGCGCCTAAAGAAGTTGCAGTTCAATAATCAAATTTTATCGTAAATATACCAAAGTTATTTGAATAGGTTACCATGAAACGCAATTCATGTTGGCCAGATTCGCGTGCCCTTATTATTATTTATAAGTAAGGTCGAATCACTTAGTACAGTGTTAATAAACGTCACAAAGCGTAACAAGTGTCCATGGGCGGCTAAGGGCCGCGCGTCTTCTACGTAGTATAAAACATTTGAACCAATTTGTTTGTGAAAATTAGGACGGTCTACAAACTCAATAAACTTAGGTATCGGTATCAAATAAAACAGTTTCGTTATTTACAACATACCTCTAAATGTTTATATGATCGTTCAGTTTATAGGCCCTTCTGTTCGCAGTTTGTCGGGATATTCAGCAATCATTCTGACTATTTTACGATATTTCAAACTGCCGTGAATTTGGTAAAGGTACATTGCTCTCGTATGGTTCTATAGGTGTTAGATTGTAATTCGAAATTTAAATTCAATTAGACATAGACATATAATTTATAACAAACAAAAACACACACACATAAACACACACACATAAACACACAAAATAACAATAATCAAAGAGAAATAATTAAATAAAAAGATATTATGTGAGATATATTATTTTTTTTCCTTTTCCCATTCGGTTCGTTTCAAGAATGTAATGCGTGTGTGGCTGTAATTGGTCCTGGCTCAGCATTATGCTGAGCAGCAGAATGTTCCACAGCTCTGGTCATTCCGCCAGAGACCACATAAGCTAGTGTGCGCCACAGTCGCAAAAAATTACTTGTGCTTGTTTGCATTACTACTAAGTACTGTGTACAGCCATCAAAATTAAGGCGCGCGGCCCTTCGCCCATGAGCACTTGTAACGCTTAGGCGTTTATTAACACTGTTTAAAATGACTCGACTCGATTATTTATGAGTAAGTCATAAATAATAATAAGGATTTGGAAAACGTGAATTTTCACGGTAATCTCTACTTAAATTACTTTGGTATATTTATGATAAAATGTCATTATTTTTGATTTATAAAAATACCGTTTAAGTGGGTCAAAGCGTAGGTATTAAAGACCCGCGTTTCTGGGTTATAATTTTAAATTCAAATTATAGAATATTGATTGATAATTGTAATGAGCTGTTTTATTTAAGCATTCAATTATTATCAACACCGAGTATTCATAATTAAGTATTAACATCTTGCCACAAGTTATTTTTAGATACCAATTAGTCAAGTCAAGTCAATAATTAAATAGTACATAGTATATAAGTGTGGAGATACATATATTATTTTGTTATAATTACAAGCGTAACTTTTGTGGAGTGGTATTTTTAAAACATATGCAAAGATTCAGCAACAGTAATATAATGTACTTCTTTAAAACACTTAAATTTCTTAAATTTCAGGCCGTGTCTTACTTCAAAGCACACTTAATAATTATAATAATTAAATGATTTTCCGTACAGTAAAATTTCTTAGTGAATAATTTAGTTTTTTATATTCACCAACAGTTGGCGTTGTGCTTACTCACACTAAGTTAAAAACGCGATAACAAAAGTTGCCTTAGAAACTATATAGTATTGAGGCTTAAAGTATATGTGAACTGCGAGCATCTCGCAGGAGACGCCCTTAAGCTAGTCGTGGGGAAAAGCCCATTTCCGGCAAGCATCACGCTCGGCCATCATCATCAAACAGCCATAGCTGTCAAGGTCAAGTGAGATTCCTTGTGAAGAATTTGTAGAAGTTTGAAATGTTGTAAGAGTCACTCTCTAAATAAATATAGTATAGTAGTACCAATGTGATTATGATTTGTCTCGTTCAGTAAATTAGTTTATATTCATACAAAGTCGATAACGTCTCAATTTTAGCAGGGTAAATTTTATTTTTTGATATTTCGAAATGTCATATAATCATTACGGTTTTTATCGATTTCGTAATTCGGAAACTTCGCGCAGCAATTTGGCGCGTTGTGTAATAGACAAACTAAATTTTAGGTGATCGAATTTAAGTGGCTATAAAAGATATTATCATACACTTAACTTATTTAGGTTAATGTATCTAGGTGCGGTTTAGAAATAGTTCATACTTCTATTTATTCATATTATTGTAAAGAATGATTTATAGTGTTTGTGCGTTTGTTTCTTAAATTTCAACACTATTGTAGCATTAACACGTCTTAAAACAATAGATTCCACAGTAAACGTTTACTTAAGGCATTTAAAAGGCAGGCAACGTATTCGCGAGTCCTCTGACTTGGGAGTGACCATGGGCGGTATCACTTAAGATCACTTAATCCTTGGTTCCTGCAGTTCAAATATTTATGGCTGATCTGCGTTCCAAACAATTTGACTCAAAACTTGGCGATTAAAAAGAGTGGCGGAGAGTTACTTGCCAGTTCTTCTTACCCGCTCTACGCCCTTGACTAGCTTGTAGTAATGAAAATTTAGAAACAAATTAACATCTTTTCTGTTGACATTGAAAAGTGTAGTTTGAGATTGATTAGGTGAGCCTCCTGCCAGTTCTCTAAAAAAATAGGAATAATCACACTCGGTTAAAAAAATCTCTCTTCTCTCTTTGTCTATCACAGGTATAATAATAATAATAAAGCCTTTTATTTCCAAAAATGTTACTATTAATTAAATATCAAATTCTTAACCCTAGTTTTTAGAACCCCATGATAGGCTTCCTCCAGCCCCTTCCTTATTTCCCTTGCTTGCGCTTGCCGGGTCGATGTTCCGCCGGCTGCACTACGACGGACCACGACGATCGACTGCGCGGGCATTCACAGGCGTCCTTATATCAATCGTTATTTAAGCATACCTATTATTGTAAGTGAGTCACATGATTCTATATAGGTATATAATATATGTACCGTTACATGTAATTAAATGGATTACTATGTGTACGTCTGACATAGATGATACATATTTCCCTAGAGATTTCAGTTCACTTCAGTTACTTTGACCGTTTTTCTCTTTCGGGCGACCCTGAGCACCTGAAACGCTTCAACGTTTTTTGATTTTATTTCTATTTTAATCACAAAGACTTTCGCATCAAAGGTGACAGTTTGCGAATAAAATCGAGGTTAATATGCAAAGTCGGAATTAAGACAAAGGTCTTTGCCGCGTTATATAAGTTCCGTAAGTTGTTTAGCAAAGAAATCATCAGAATTTTTTTTTGAATGTTTTTGCCCATATTTTTAGTAATTTTTTTCTGAAAAAAAAATGGTGCGCCCACTCTCATTCTCTTAATGTTTTAAGTGGTTTAAAATACCCGTTTGTTCACCTATTTGTCATTAAATATTCTCAATGAAATAAAACCACCCGTCCCACTGGGGTGTTGGATAAATTAAAAATATGCAAAGCAACAAAGATAGACTTCCCTTAAGACTTTTTACCTTATTTATTTAGGCCAAACCTTATTTACCAGCCATTCGAATTCAGGGGCGGTGTGTTTGCAATGAGATAGGATTATCTTAGATCGCGTTGGTTAAATATCCACCTATTTTGCTTACCAATAATCTTGATTTGGGAAAGTACGATCTGATTTCCGAGAATTAACATAAAAGGAACATTTTATTCATGGATGTATGTTTGAAAATAAATGTGTCTTAATAACACAACACGAGAGTATGTACAGATTCATATCATCAATTTGATGAATCAACCGATTTTGATGAATCAAATTTCATCAAAATCGGTCCAGCCGTTTAGGAGTTTCATTACAAACATAACCACAGAAGATTTATATATAAAAAGAAGTTCGTACCTGTTTTCTGCAATTGCCACGTTGCGTTGGCATCAATTGGGATGAAATTGAGTTGAAGAGGACAATAGATAGATAGATTTTTTGTTGTATGTTTAGTTTATATTCGAGTTTTTTATTATATTTTTCCTTTACGGTTCAGATTTTTACTTTCATAAAAATTTATATCCGCATCCAAAACACCAAGCTTCTAAGCAGATACACAAAAATTCGTACATACAATACTGTTGTACGACCAGTATTAATGTACGGCTGTGAGTATTGGCCATGAAAGATCAGAAGCTAGTTGCGATGGAACGCAATATATTGCATACCTTGAGCGCATGGACCCAGATAGGGCGATGGAAGAAGCTTACCTGAGCCGCCCTATTAGTCGGAACCATGGCTCCGCTGAATCGACAGAATGGAGCACCTGCTTCAGCTGTTCAACATTTATTACACAAAAGGAAACGTGAATATCACATACACGCCAAAGCTATTCATAAACGGTACAATTCATACGTTATAAAGGTAATTATCTGAATTAATCTATGGTTGAAATTAATTGATTTATTGCGGCTCGTGTAAACGATTTAACTGTAATAAGCGAATCGCGGTCTAATTATATCTCTAATCAACTTTATAAATGTTATTATCTCATTTAAATAATATGAAACAAGGAAAGGCAAGGGAATCATACGTGAATGTCTTTAATGTTTAATATTCATACAATTTCCCTTGATGTCAAAGATATAAATACATTAATGATACTTAAAGAGCTATATATGTAGTAACTAGTAGTATTCAAGACTATCACCATTTCAGGTTCTTCCAAGTCACTATGTGGCCCCCGAGATCCACTCACTACGAGCTGGTTGCCTAGCAACAAAAGAACAAAATAATGTTGTTAAAATGTAATAATTGTAGTGCTTAAAATTTAGATAGTATGATGGACTTATATAACAGTTATCTGACATTTGAGTTCCTCAGTGGAATAAAAATACGTTTTTATAAATGGATAAGTTACCCTAAGTGTTGCAACTTAATTTTAGTTAGTTTATTGCTTTCTTTGATAGATAATATATAGTTGGATTAAAATGATTGTATTGTTATCAATCCATTTAATTATTAAGTACTTAATTATATGTATAAATGGCGTAAAAATAACTTTATATTTAGTAAAATCAAATAAAAAAAAAAAAAATATTTTAAATATTATTTTTAATACAATCACAATCCTTTATAAAATTTAAACATATTTCTCACAGTATTTGCAGTATTGGTGATTCATCCCGGAGATGATAGGTTCGATCACCTGTTCTGCACCAATGGACGTTCGGTCTATGCACGACACTAGCCCGCACGCAAACACCGTCAGTGCCTGGTCACGATACAGATATCCGAGGCCATCCAAACCTTAAAGGTTGTAGTGCCACTGGTTTGGTTTTCATCACAGTATTTATGACCTATTAGTTAACTATGAAAGCATCGTGATCGGAAGAGGCTAGTATAGTCTATCGACGTCAACCTGTATAACCTTTAAGGTTATATGTTTTGCCCAGAACTAACAATAGTGGCAGCGCTTGAAAGCTCTAGATAGAGCCTACAAACAAAAATATGAATTTGTTTAAAATTTTTCCTTTCAATTGTTTCAGCATTATATAGAAAGTAATTTAATGCCTAATTTATTTTTCGTAGCGTTTGTAAGTTTATAAAGGCACTTTAGACTAAATCCAATACAAATTATTACCGGAGCGTCTCAGATGTTTGAACAAATAGAGCAATTCAAATATTAGTTTGGTATATTTGGATTGAAATTCAAGACTTGAGTTGCTTTATGTAACTTTGAGTACTACTTATTGGCTTTGCTTGATATTTAATACGTAAAATAAATAGATAAAAATAACATAGTAAATTTAAAGTAATTATATTGGTTCCTCGCGATTGGTCCTCGTCGAACTGTATTTTTTTATTTTTTATTGTGTTTTTTCACCTGTGGGTTTAATCTCTGTCGAAGTAGGATTTATCGGAAACAAACAAACATGTATTATACATCACTTATTCACGGATTTTTTTACGAGTGAAAGAAACCTTTGATATCGCTTCTCATGTTTCAAAAATTACTTCTGCCAAAGAAAGTCGGAAACCTTACTTTACCGGTGCAGACAAGGTCGCACTAACTTTCATCTTTTTACTGGGCTCTGTGTTTTAGATTAGGCATTTTTAAATTAGGCATTTCAATGTAACAAAAGTAATGTTTTCAGGTGACTGAAGATTGTTTTAGTCTATTTTCTGTAAAAACAACAACGAACGATATAAAGATTTTTCTAGAACAGGTAACAAACGAGTTTTCACTTCACACTTGTTAAATGACAACACAGCTCTTAGACTATTCACAATGATAGAAAACTCGCAAGAGCCGCTTTAAACCTACAGATTTAAATTAATAATCTCTAATTCATTAATAAAAATAAAACGTCGAATAAAAACTGGATTAAACGTGCGCACATTTATACGCACTGTAATTTAATAATGAAAAGCTTTTTAATTAATGGTTGTTATAAAAATAATCAGGCTTTAGCGGCACAACAAAATTATTATGTTGACCATAATTACTATTAATTATAATTTACTTATGAACTTACTTTATTTAAGCAATATTTTATATTTATTTAACGATTATTATACGTATGTTACTAATAACGCATGTTCGGAGCCATCTTATCGTGGTTTGACAATTGACAACACACGTTTCTGCTCTTATTTATTCTAGTCACAGAGCAACACATTTCCCACAGATTATCTAAAAACTTAACATCTGTAATGACGTGCTATTGTATTTTCACTAAGGTAATAAATTGAAGTAAGAAGATTTATGTAATGAATGTACGAAAATATTTAAAAAATGCAAATTTAAATTTGATACACAATGCATACAATAAAACTTTGTATTACATCCAGAATTAATAAAAAATGCCTAACTCTTGACCCAGTTGTCTGAAAATAACTCAGGTGCTGGGATTTTCTTGTTATAATTCGTCTTGAAAGGTTTCGCTTGAAAGTAATTGGATGGATGACATTTTATGAATTTCACTTTTGCTTAGCGACATTTTAAGGGGATCTTACGGGCATTGTGTTAACCTAATAGATAATAATTGAGGCAGGTAGAAATACTAAAGCGTGTTATGCATTTCGTCTCCTTAGGTTAACGAAGTATGCATACTTTTTTTTTCTCAATAAATCACCATACATTAACAAAGCCCAACTTACTTTATACACAGTCATAGTAATTATTTTAAAATATATAATACATCGCTAGATCCCTAAATGGATATTGCCCTCAGATTGTATCCGTATCCATGATATTTTTTTTTATAAACGAGTAGGTGATCAGCCTTCTGTTCCTGACCCATGTCATCGATTTGTGGGTTAGAGAAATGCCGGTTCCCTCACAAGTGAAGGTGCCCGGTGAGGTTAGGTGAGGTGTGATTTAAACACACCTCAGGGTCATACGCTTAAGCCATTATTAGACAATCTCTCATTAAATGCTATTTTTTTGTAATTATTTTAAATGCAAATCAAACTTGAAGCGAGAGATGTATGTTATGCTTCTGATATAGTGAAAACGTTTGCAGGACAACGAAAGAGTACAAATCAACAATTAGTTTTTGAAAAGGGGTTTAATTTAGGCTTTGGACACCTTTTTATTATAAAATTCTGCTAAAGTTAGTTATTTATTAAAGGGATAGGTTAATTAAATTATTCAGTTCACACAAGTTTAACGTAATACCCAAATATTTATTACTATGTAGCACAGCACAGCGCTATGCCCGTTCATACATTTGCCAAAATTTCATACCTTATAAATTATTATTATTAAATATTGCAGGACTTGGGGAATATTATACCTTTAAGTACAGTTTTAATACAGTTGGCTTTCTCAAAGTGCCAGCTGTGTTCCACTTACTAAAACTGATTACACAGCGACTCAAAGTTAAACCAATGGGTAGGGCTGTCAACCTCTAATTAATTCTTTAATGCATTATTCACAGTTCATCAAACTTTTTGGTATTTCTAACATTTAGATTCAGATACTGTACACACACATTCAGATTGAAATCGTTGAATTGTATTGTTTTTGATTATTCAGAAAAATACAATTTCACATTTTACTATCCAACGGTTTCAACTGAATTTCATTATGATAATAAATCCTGAAATAAATCTAAAATATATTCATAGTTCGGTTCATTTCTCATCAAAAATATCTTTCAATTAAATGTCATTAAATTTTACTAGTTACTGAGTTAAATACGCTTTATTAATTTCTTGGCTTAATTTTAAGCTTTTATCAGAATAATGTATGGGGGATAAGTTTGAACGTTACTTGAATGTTATATATTTGTGTCATTTGGTGTCGAGACCCTTGGTCCGTGGGGTCCTAGTGCTTTAAGGCTTTTTAAAGAAATATCAAAAAGGTTAGTCGACATCACAGGAGACCGAAGAGCTGGCAACTACCTCGGACAAAGAATTAGTCTAGCTATTCAAAGGAGGAACCTTGCCTAAAGGGACTCCTTTTAATAATATGTGTTAGTTAATATATGTTAAGGTTAGTTATTTATTTATTTATAAAGCAATCATTTATTACAATAAATGCCGTGACATTGTAATTCTTTTCATACGAATTTCGTTTTGATTTATCATTTTTAGTATTATTTTGTACAAAAACGATGTCTACGTTTCTGATAAAGTCGGTACACAGTGTCAACGTGTAAAAATCTGATACGAAGGTCGCACTTGTCCAGCCCAAAGCCTTTCTAAACAAGACGTTTAGAAGGGATCTGTTTTATGATTTTATGATGATGTCATCGAATTAGACATCGAACACATGTTCGATTATCTTCGGTTTAAGTGACCATGGCCCAATCGTTAAATTGAACATTAAGAACCCATTAATATCAGCTTCCCGTAGTATAACATAAATTTGTAATGGGTTTTATTCAAGAGGGATTTCCAACACAGATATTTTCGTGGTAAATTTTTATGGCATCTATTCTCTAGCAGGAATGTTATGTAATGTTTAAAAAGGACGGTTTCTTTTTGTATGTATATAAACTGTTTAACCTCTTTTAATTTTTATATATTAAAAGGATTCTATTAGCTTTTTTTTCATTTTATGAAGTGATAATATTGTTACGCAATATTGAAAATGCCCTATTAAATCTACTAACATAAATCGAATATGTCGCTTAACTTAGACATATATGAATTCGTGTATACGGTGATGTTGGTTGTTTCGACTATGTGTTTGCGTGTTGTTCCCACGAGAATGTAAGTGCGTGCTCCTATTTCACCATGCTTTCTGCTGATAGAGGACAAATCTTTGTTTGTAATTTATGTTATTATTATTAATTACTTAAAATGTCACATGGGACATGGTGTAATAGTTGCAGCTCCTTACAAACATTTTGTAAAACAAACAAAAATGGCGATTAAAAAGAGTGGCGGAGAGTTTATTGCCAGTTCTTCTCTCCCGTTCTACGCCCTTGATTTGAGAACTGGCAGTAAATGTAAAATTAGAAGCATTAATATGTATTTCTTTACTGACAAGTCATAAGTGTACATTATGTTACCTATATGATTAAATGATTTTTTACTTTTACTTTACTTTATAATATAACAAAACAAGATATGATGCAATTGTTCCCTTTGTATCATGTCTTTAAAATAATGACATTTATAAAATTTAATTATTTTTACCGCTTACGTACCTTGCAAATACGGAGAATATTTTTTTAAATCTACTGTATGTAAAAGTTATCAATTATTCATTTTGGTTTTTGTGGATATTTCGTGTTACATATAATATTGAAGTAATGATCTATTTTAGGACCATAAGTCAAATTGGTTCGAAAATA